GAGCACTACAACTGCAAAGGCATTCAGGGCATGGAGCTGAATGACTTCAACGGGGGACGGGACGGGGCTGGAGTCGCACTGGTCACAGCGCAACGCGAAGGACGAGCTGATGGCTCCGCTCGGGGGTGCCGGCTACTACACGGAGCTGACGCTGGCCGCCTTCGCCGACTTGGGCTACTACAAGGTGAACTGGGCGATGGCGGAGCGGATGGGTTGGGGCAGGCAGTTCGGGGTGTGACCTGCTGGAAAAGAAGTGCTCTGAACTCGTGAGTAAATACCCCAAAATGTTCTGTGAACGGGGCGGTCCCCACCTGCGCTGCACGTCGGATCGGTATTTCAACGGAACGTGCGATTCGAACATCATTGAAATGTCACCGAATGGACAAAAGGACGTGTGCTTAACGGTTGCGGCTTTGGTGCCGAGAGAAGACTTTAAATACGTCTTTAAGCAGGAGGTGCCGCGGCGGGGGAATAGAGGTTCACAGCGACATCAAAGAAGTACGGCCAAAAAACTGCCTAATCCCACGTGGTGCCTGGACAGGAAGCTTCCACCCAATGAGGAGGCGGAGGGGGAGGAATACGAACAACCAGCTGCCGTATACGCAGAGGTGATGTGTACCGGAGGAGCGTTCAGACTGAAAACAGGGAGTGGGGTGTTTTATGGCAAACGTGCAATGCCGGAGAGACAGTCATCGGGAGCCGCACCACTTCCAATACGAGGAATGTCATCTGCCCTGAATACGCGGAGGTGTGCACGATGTCCATCAACGGCAGCAGCCTTCTCCCAGTGGTTGAATGGGACGGCAAAGAGAAGGCGTGGAAGGGAACAGTCCCTGCGGAAGAGCCAGACCTTGCGCCGTCTGAGAGTGGTCCTGTTGATAGGCCCAACAGCGGCAGCAGTGAGCAGTCTGGACGCCCACCGTCAACGCCTTCTGCTCCTGGCGGTGGTGACGCGGCCGGTGACGGTGGAACTGGCAACAACGGCCCGGAACGCGGTGCCCCGCCGAGGGAGAAGGAATCCATTTCTGTGGCTCCGCAGGGGGCAGGCAACGGGAGCGAACACCACGAGAGCAGCCACGGCATCACCAGCGGTGGTGATGCGAGTGGTGGAGGGGCCCATGGTGAGGGCGGAGAGTTGCCGTCAGTTGTTGGCGGCGAGGTGAGCCCTCAAGAGGTGTCTGGGGGGCGGCGGGACCACGCGACAGGCAGCAGAGATGCACCGCCACCAGCACCAGCGACAGGGGAGAGCACGGGGGATCAAAACGCACCACAGACAGAGACAACTCCGCAGCACTCGGCATCACGTGAGGAGCCTTCACCGCCACTGCCGGAGTCAGAGGGAACTCAAGAGGAGGGGGACGCCAACGCGGAGTTGCCCCACAGCGAATCCGCTGTCGCACCGGGTGCCGCAGCGAATACTTCAACTGGGAGTGAGGCGGAGACACCCGAACCAACTCTTTCTGCAGGTGGTGTTGGTGCTGTCGGTCCTCAGCCTGAAGGGCCCTCTGCGGAGGCCGGCAACGGCGCTGCCCAGCCCAGTGCCACTGAGACACCGGACGGGCACCACAGCGAAACTGCCACCAACACGCCGCCAGGCAGTGCGAAGGAAACAACGACACCGCCAGCTGCCGACGCCGTCCACTAACGACGAAGGCGACGCATGGCGACAGTGACGGCGGCACCGCGGCCTCGCACTGCACCTCCCCCCTTGCGCTGCTTCTTCTTGCGTGTGCGGCGGCTGCTGCGATGGCGGCGGCGTGAGGGAGCCGTGCGCAGCTCCTCCGTCCCTTCGTTATTTCTCTCTTTTTGCGTGTGTCCTCCTGCACGGACTGTCGCCCTCGCCCCACCCCACGAGGCACACACGTAATGTGCTCATGCATACACGCACACTCATGCAGGCCCGTTGGTTTTTAATTTATTTTGCTTTCAACGCGCTGCCGCCGTTCTGCTTGGCTGCATGGGTAGAGCACCGTAACTGTTTTTATCATTTTAATTGTTTTCGTTGCTTTCGGTGGGCGGCCTCTTTCTCCCTCCTTCTTCCTGGATTGGGCTGTGCGGGAGGAGAGGGAGTGTGCGTGTGT